GGAGGAAGTGGGAGGGGAGCTGTTGCATTGTGGTAAACTGTGGTCAATGACATGCGACAAAGTATATGTGAACTGCTGTATGGAAAGTGAATTTGCTCTGTAAATCTTCACCCAAATCACAATTTAAAAAAAATTGTTTTTTTCTTTTTTTGAACATTTTATGATGGTTGAAAAGATGACTTTTTTAATGCAAAGAACATTTGCTTGGCGAGACTTCCTGCTCTGGAATCTATTTGTGCATGGCATACTGAGCCTTCAGACAGGTCTGATGGACTCTTCAGGACCTCTAGTGACAGTGGGGTCTCTGCCTGAACAGGCCTCTCTGGTGCCTTACCTTCAGGGCAAAGGTGGTCTGAGTCTCTTTTGCTCCAATTGAGCTCCCTGGTCCTGGTTCTTTGCTCCACGGCCCTGGGAAACATGTACCATTCTGCCCGATGGTGTGTCAGCAGACACTTTCACTTTATCATATTCAGCCTGTGGACGTGGGCCATTTCTGCTGCTTGCCTTTGTGACTTCTCTTTCTTTGAGACATTTTTCTAAAACAGCATAAGCCTCCCCATTTGGTCACCTTTCCCATGCTTCTCTTATGTTGTAAAATTAAATATTTTTCCCAAACACCTTTAGTGCATTTCTTTGAAAGGGTAAATCGAGAAAACCACATGTCTGAGGAGAAAACCTCCTATCCATGAGACCTGTAATACCTGCCCTCCTGAAGTTTCCATGTTGTCTTCCCAGTTACAAGCAGGAAGCACTTCAATATCTGCCCTCCATTCCATAATCCACTGAGGCTTGGACATCCTCCATGACCAGAGTTATGTGGTACTTCATTTGCTCATCAGATGTCTGTCTTCCTCACAGGTACCAGGAGCTGTTGGATACCAACCAAGCTCCCTTCTTCTTGTTCACGTGTGCCATGAGGTGGCTGGCCGTGCGGCTGGACCTGATCAGCATCGCCCTGATCACCACCACGGGGCTGATGATTGTCCTCATGCATGGGCAGATCCCCCCGGCCTACGCGGGTCTCGCCATCTCTTACGCTGTGCAGGTCAGTATCTGGGATCGGGTCAGTATCTCTGCTCCTCTGAGGCCTTCCTGTGTTGGCCTCGAAGAGCATTGGCTCCGCCCTGCACCCTCGTTTCATCTCGACCTCTGGAGCATCTCCTGCTCTGGTTTGGCAGTGACAGTCTGTATTTGGGATGAGAGAGACGTAGGGGTAGAAAGAAGGGATTTAATTTGGTTGTATGTATTTAAGAAACATGTGCTATTTTCTTCATAAAGAAGCATGATATTGAAAATTGTTCCTTAATTTTAAGTGTTCACTACCCTCTCATCTCTGACCTCTTCCTAGTCTTCTAAAAAGTACTATATCTTCAGTATGCTTCTTATGTGCATTTTTTATTTTTTCAGGCCCCTGATTTTCCCAATATTGTTAAATATAAACCCTTGTAGGGATGATTGAAGGTCTTTAAATAGCTTAGAGAAAAATTGGGAATTTGAACACTGACTCTTTATTTGAATAAGATTTTGAGGAGTTATTGTTAGTTTTTTTAGGTGTTTTAATGTTATTGGAATTGTTTGAAGAGTCTTTATACTTTAGAGAGATGCAAGTTTTGATGGACATGGATGAAATGATAGGTTAGCAGGGGTTTACTTGCACACAATACAGGAGAGTGGAATTGGGTAGGGATATAGATGAAACAAAACTGGCTGTAAGCTTTTTAAGCTGAGTGATTGGTACATGGGAGTTCATTATTCTGTTCTTTATACACTTGTGTATGTTTGTCATGTTTCCATATTAAAAAGATAAAAATAAGTAAGTAGCCAAAGGAACCCTAGAGATGTATGTCTTCACAGATACTCAAAAGATGTCTATGTTGTACAGACTTACTTAGGGTTAAAGAAAAAAAAAATCCACTGCTTTTGAGTCAATTCCAACTCATAGCAACCCCCACTGGGTTTCCAAGGCTATAGATCTTTACAGAACTAGATTGCCTCATCTTCCTCCCTGGAGCAGCTGGTAGGTTTGAACTGCCAACCTTCTGGTTAGTAGCCACTCTGCCACCAGAACTCCTTATGTGTTGGGGAAAACTATGTGTTATATACGCTTTTCCAAAATCTTTAGTCTGAGGTGCACAGGGGCTCTGCAAACACATTTCACTCAGCCCTGTATTTTGTGTAAGGAGCTCTAGTGGCGTAGTGCCTAAGGCATTTGATTGCTAACCAGAAGGTTATTGGTTCAAACCCACCAGCCACTCAGCAGAAGGAAGACTGGGCAATCTTCTTCAGTAAAGTTTTACCACCTCACAAACCCAAAGGGGGTCATTATGAGTCGGAATCAACTCAATGGCAGTGAGTTTGGTTTGGTATTCTGTGTAATTTCCTAGAAGCATTCTCACTAGTTGCTCACAGGTTGTTATCTCTGTGTGTTGTGACTACTACAAGTGCAGGTACAATTATGAACCTCAGAAGTTATTCAGCTGCAGACACTTGTTAATGAAAATGTAACGATGGATAGAAGGCCTTTGGATACAGAAAAGTTAGTGTCAGTACCACGGTGCCACTTGTTTTTGTGGGGAATTGCAGTTGATTGGGGTAATAGGCATTGTCCTAAATGTTGAGAGAATGACAGTCCATAAAACCAGCTGTTGCATGTGCCCAGTGAGTTCTTGTATGAATAACTTCAAATACAAGAATCAGCATAAAGCCATTTCCTATGAGGCAGAGGTCAGATATATCCCTCAAGCTACTGTACCACTCCATCTCTGATACCAGCTACTCCCCTCAGCACTCTTTCCTACTGCATTTGAATTCAACAATTTCCTGTAACGTCTCACAGAATTCACAAACTGTACTTCTAGTTAAGTGGTTTATTAAGGAACAGGGTACACATCAGGATCAAGAAGCATGTAGGCAAAGTCTCTCTTTTCTAGTGTAGGACACCCCTCTCAGCTCCTCTTGGCCATGCAGCTCCCTCAGGACAGGCTCTTCTGGCCCTGCCATCTGTCACCACCAGCTCTGCCACTGGGCCCCTTCCAGGCCTCTTGCTTCAGCATTACAGCTCTTTTAGGAGATTCCTTGCCTCCTCCTTCTCTTTGCTTCTCTCTTCTTTCTTCCTACTGCTTCTCTTGCTGCTTCTTTCTGTCCCTAAAATATCTCTGTGGAGTTGGCTGCTTATGTACACAACTTCTTGTCAATTTCAAGGCATGTCCCCTCCCAGCAGTGGCCAAACTGACCAATCCCCTCTCAGTAGACCAGGTACTTCATTTACATAGTAGACTACAACTCACTTTATTTGCATAGTGTGTTGACCAGTCCCTGCAAGGTGCATGTCAGTCATAGGCCAGGCTGCAACCCAGGACCAGACAAAAACTATCAAATCAAATTGTTTACCACTTATCCAGGACATGTCAATCAACCTGAACAAAAGTAACAAACCCTCTGGGGTAGAAACTCCTCAGAGTTTAAGGAAAAAAATCTCTCAAGCTATTTTTCCAAAGAACCAAGGCAAAAGGCCACATAAAGGAACTCATTTTATCACCGTTCCTAAAAGTGTTATAGTTCTCTAGATGAAGAAAATTTCTACTACTGGCCTGGCATGTACTGATAATTAATTCTCTCTTGGATTTTCATTTTCCATTGTCAGTTAACGGGACTATTCCAGTTTACTGTCAGACTGGCATCTGAGACAGAAGCTCGATTCACCTCGGTGGAAAGGATCAACCACTACATTAAGGTCAGACTGTCTGCAGGCCTGTGACTGTGATCAACCCTTCATGGGATAATTTTTACCCTTTCAGTGACTCCAATGGATGTGCAAGGAAGAAACCAGCTGTCTCTCCCTTATCTTACCCCACAGTCTCTCCAGCATGCAGAAGAGACTATCATTAGGAGAAGAGAATATATCATTAGTGTTTCTAAATACCTGTGTAAATTGTATCTGACTGAGAGTTAAGGTTTATTGGCTTAATATCCATAGTGTTCAGGATCTTGTCAATTCACTTTAGCTGACTAAGGAACATTGTCCTTAAATATTGTCTTTACTCTTTGTCTAGTTTGGGAGCTCTGGTAGCATAGTGGCTAAGACACTTGCCTGCTAACCAGACAGCTGGCTGTTCAAATCCACCAGCCACTCCTCGGAAGGAAGGTTGGGCAATCCTACTTCCGTAGTGATACTGCCTCGGAAACCCAAGGAGGGGTCGCTATGAGTCAGGTTTGACTCGACGGCACATAACAACAACAACTTTGTCTAGTTTAGTTGTTCTTAACCAGGAATGGCCTTCAGAATCCCCTATATTAAGCTTTAAACAAAAACACAAACGTGACCCAAATCTCTGGAAATTCTGATGCAGGAAGTTGGGAAGTAGGGGTGGCGAGGAGGATGTGGAAGAGAAGGAACACAGGCTTCTGTATTCTGAATTGGCACAAGCTCCAGAGCTAATTCTCAACTGTCTCCATGGTTTAGAAACCAGTTAACCCTGAGCTCATCTGTCTCTTCCTACCTTCCCTCAGGAACCCCTGCAATGTCATTGTGGGCAGCATCTTGCTGATGTCATAGTAGGAGCTCTGAAAGCAATTTTCTGTAGAAAGCAGAGTCTTGAGTGATGAAAAGTCTCAAATTTAACCCAATTCACGAGTTACCTATTTTGTGAACTGCCCTGAGACGACCAGCATTCGTGACATTATTTACATGGGAATAATACGTTCCAAGTTCCAAATAATTGACTTCCAAACATAGTTTGAAAAAACTGCTTTTTTACTTGAGAACTGAGTGTAAACTGTTCCCTAGCAGAGAGCTGCTTCACTGAAAGTGCAGTTTTTGACGACGCACCTCACTAGTTGTAGGATCCATCTTAAACTTAGAAATGATCCTTTTCAGAAAGAATGGCAGCTAGCTGTCTAACATATCTGCTAAGAGCTATTCTTTGTGTTCATATATGACCCTTTTTGCCCACTGGTCTGGGCTGTGGAAGACATGTGTGTAGACATGTGCTTGTAGAATGTTTGATTTAATGTCACTATTGATGAGAGTCCCATGCTGGAGAGGTCAGGATGATAGTTAGAGGTGATACAGAGTGGACCCTGCACAAACCAGTCATATGTCCAGGGATTGGCTTCCTGCTGCCAGTCCCCAATCTGGATGCCTGTGCCTGCACTGAATCCTTCCAGCTTGGAGTTCTAGTCTTCACACTCCATCCCCAGGGAACTGTAATCTTTGGCCCTTTCATTCCTGTGAGGCTATGAGCCTTGTAGCTCGTTGCCAGAGAGTTTTAAAACATTGAGAGGTATGACTGTTGGTGACAAAAATTACCCAAGCAGTGATATAATCACAGTATTTTAAAGCTGGAATAGATTTCCAAGAGTATCTAACCCAGTCCCCACAATTTACAGCTGAGAAACTAAGACCCAGAGAGGGGAAGTGATACGTCCAGGTCACACAGCTACTAGTGGCAGAGCTGAAGTGAAAGTCTTTGTCTCCTGGATTGACTGAGATATGTCAAAATGGCAGGATGTGCCAGGTGTTCAGTAAATGTTCGTGTCCTTCCTTCTGATCTAGGCCAGTGGTTTTCGAATGGTAGAATCCTGTTTCAAGTGGAATGTTTCCAAGGAATACTGATAAAAACTGCCAAGGCTGAAGAGGGGCAGAAGGCCTCAGGCCTCACCACTTAGATTTTTCTTCAGCCCCCAAGGCCATGGAAAAATTCCTCATGACAAAAGGCAGTTTGAAAACTGTCCCAAGCTGCTTCTGAGTACCACTGATGCTTAGTAACCATAGTACTCTGGTCCTGTCTAGTTCAGTGGCGATCAGTTGAGTGCTAAGGGAATCTTCTGTAGCAGAAGGACTGGGTGGCAGCTGTCTCTGTGGCTGTCCTGCTTTTACTTTGCCATGACAAAGCCTTGCCACCTCCCCCAGAATGGTCAGTCTGAACCAGCCGCTCATGTCTCCCTAGACTCTCTCCTTGGAGGCACCTGCCAGAATTAAGAACAAGGCTCCCTCCCCTGACTGGCCCCAGGAAGGAGAGGTGACCTTTGAGAATGCAGAGATGAGATACAGAGAAAATCTCCCTCTGGTCCTCAAGAAAGTGTCCTTCACCATCAAACCTAAGGAGAAGATTGGCATTGTGGGTCGGACAGGATCAGGTAAGTCCTCTTTGGAGAAACATTTGGACCTTTCTGAATCTAGTTTGGGGTTCATGATTTGCTGTTCACTTACTATCAATTTTATGCCTTTAAGCCACATATTTGTTAGATGAGTGATTAGTGTCTCAGACTCCTTCAAACCACTTTCTAGGTTTGTTTTTAACCCTGTTTTTCTAACACGTAGGGCTTTTTCTAATTATGAAAGTAGACGTTCTCAATGTAGAACACTTGGGACATATAGCAGAGCACTAAGGGGAAAATCACCTATAATTCCACTGCCCAGAGATAGCTGCTGTTAACATTTCAGTGTATATTTTCTTAGGCTTTTTCCATTAGCATATGTATTTACAAAAAATGAGACTATTTGTACAGACTGTTTCTTGGCCTGCTTTTTAAATTGTTAGTATTTTCCCACGTCTATTAATATTCTGTGACATGATGGAGGGGTCGCTATGAGTCGGTCCAACTCGACGGCACATAACAACAACAACATGATTTTTATGCAGCATCCTAATACTCTGTGTTATGCATGTACCATAATTGATATTTAACCAGTTCCCAATTGGAGGGCATTGAGGTTATCAGTTTTCACTAGCACAGATAGCACTGCAGTGAACATCCTTGTTTATGTCAAGTCAACATACGTGAACATATTTAAGTACTTTGTCATATGTTGCCAGGATAGCCCCATGCTTGTCAGAAGCTAACACAGCCTCTGCCCCTTTGAAGGCACAAATCATTTTGTTAGGTTGATATCAGTTGAAGCAAATAGAGCATTGGCTTTCACTCATATTCTTAGAAATGTTTTACTACATGTCCTTTAGATTTCTAAGGTCTTTCCCTCTTTCCTCCTCCCTGAGCAGCATTTCAAAGATGGAATCTTCCTGTACTACCCTGTTTGACCTAGCATTCAAGAGAGGTCTCCCTGGCTCTGTTATCATTAGCTTTCTGTGCTCTGTGCTTCCTTGGCATCAAGGCTCTTTCTGCTTTTATTTTTTTCTCACTGTAAAAAGAAAAGAAGGGGGAAAGGAAAAAAGTCCTTTCATTTTTTTTCTGGGCAATTTACTTTAAAGAAACTGCTATGGAGTGAAAGAAAAGGTGATTTCCTGCTTCCTGTTTCTTCCTTGAATTATTTCATGCTGAAACAAGGCCACCTCCAGAGTCTGGAAGGAGACTCTTCAGACAAATAGCATAGCTGTCTCAAGTTCTTGCTTTGCTCCCTCTCGAATTTCCTCTATGAAAATAGCTCCTATGAGTATACTACCCTCCTGGAGGCTCTGACTAGTGTCCCTTGTTATGATTTCCCGTTAACACAGCCCAAGCCCAGACAGGCCGAATTATCCACCAAGGCTTTATTAAACCCTGAGTAGTGACAGAAGAGCAATAAAGAAGAAAAATAAAATAATTATAAATAACCTGACTGACAAAATCTAAATCCTATTCCTACGACAGCTTCTTCCAAGGCTCATAGGCCCCAACTCTGCCATGATTATAGTCAAGGGCATCACTATGAGAATATCTTTGCCTTTTTTTATCAGCACATTCCATCAGTGCAGAAGTAATCTAGATTTGAAATATGACAAGTCCAGATGACCCAAACCTAGGCATTTTTTGTTAAACTGGAGCAGTCTGGGCAGTCGAGTCTAGCACCATTCCTTCCTTAGCTTAGATCTGAAAACAAAGAAATGCTTGTATGGTGTGAACATTTACATCAGGTAGATACACTCCTTGGCCCGCAATCAGTCAATCAGTCTGGGAGAACAGAAGGGCAATGTTTACACAGCAAGATAGCTGGGAGTGGGTGGGGTCGGGAGTGCATGGGAGGGAAGGGCACCGTGAAGAAGAAGTGGGAAGAGAGCTGTTACATTGTGCGGAAGTACAGTCAGTGTCGTGAAACAAAATGTGTATGAACTGCTGTATGGAAAATGAATTTGCCTTGTAAACTTTCACCCAAATCACAATAAAAATTTAAAAAAAAAGAATGCTTGACTCTGAGGAACTTCCTCCTCCTCTCCTAGTGGGGGAGAGGGCCAATAATAGGTTCCCTAGTCCTGAGTGAAGTCATTGACTTCTAGGAGGAGAAGGCCTCATTAGGAGTGGTCCTGCTACATGCACACAGGTTTCCCAACCCATTTCTGGTGGATAGACGTGAGGATTAGGAAAAAAGGTGCTTCTAGATTCTCATTAATTGTTTGGCAGAAGTTTGCCAGGGGACAAATCCCAGCAGCTGGGATGTGGCTGCAGACACTAGGGATAAGGCAAGATGTTTGTACCCTTGATAACTGCTGAATAGACAATGCCTTGGCAATCTCAGTGTAGCTCTCAGGAGGAGGAGGAGGTTAATAATAGGGTCAAGAACCAAGAATCTGTGATCAAAAGGGGGAAAATTCAAAAGAGAATTTCAAATTCTCATGAAATTTAGACTTTCTAGAACCATTGAGGCTAGATAAACCCTCAAAACTATTGTCCTGAAATAATCTTTAACCCTTAAATCTTAAACAAAAATATCCCCTGAAGTCTTAAAATAGGAGTTTAGCTTACTAGTAAAGAATGTCTGCCACGAACATTGTTCTCTTTTAAGACCTATCTATATGAGATCAAATTGACAACAGCAATTCTAAAGATTAGATAGGAAACTGAGAGGACGGTGAGTGTATGTTAATAGCAGAAGAACAATTGGGAAAATTATTAACTCAATAATTAATGTAATTAATTAATAACTAATTAATTATTAATTAATGATTAACTTATTAATAATAAGTTATTGCACAACTTGAAGGTGATTTGTCATTGAAATGTACATGTAAAAATTGGTTTGGTATAGTTCTGCTATGTATATTCTCAACAACAAAATAAAATAATTAAAAAAAAAAAAAAAACACGGGCATTTGGCTAAAGCAAAGACCTACACTTATAAATCTAAACCATGAATCCAGTTTCAGAAAGGTAGATAAGACTATGTCAGACCTTTTTTTTTTTTTTTAATTTGTCATTGTATAAAAAAACAAAACCAAACTCATGGTCCCAAGTCCGTTCCAACTCATAGTGACCCCTCCTTGGGTTTCCAAGGCCGTATCTCTACGGAAGTAGATTGCTCAATCTTCCTTCCAAGGAGTGGCTGGTGGGTTTGAACCGCCAGCCTTCTCATTAGTAGTCAAATGCCTTAGGCAATACACCACCAAACCTCCTATACAGAGCATTATTTAAATGTTTATATCCTTTGACTCAGTAATTTCATTTCTGGAAATCCATCCCAAGGAAGACCTCTGAGGTAGCAGTAAAATTTGAGCAGTGAGATGTAAGGCACGTCATTATGATCCAAACCCTACCCACTATCATCCAGTCGATTCCAATTTATAGCAACCCTATAGAGAAGAATAGTACTGCCCCATAGGGTTTCCACGGCTGTATAAATCTTTGGGGAAGTAGACTGCCTCATCGTTCTCCCAGGAAGCAGCTGGTCAGTTCGAACTGCTGACTTTTTGGTCAGCAGCAGAATGCCTTAACCACTGCACCACCAGAGCTCCTCATCATCATGATAAGTTTTAAATAAACTACATGTCCAGCATTAGGATATGGTTAAATGACTAAGAGTACATCCACGTGGTGAAATATGTTGTAGCCACTAAAATTTTATCTTAATTTTTTTTTTAATAATATGTTTGCATGCTTGTTATATAATGCTAAGTGAAGAAAAAAGTAATTACAATATTGTGTCTCCAGTATGATCTGAACTCGAGGGAAAAAGACTGAAAGGAAGTATGTTAAAAATTAAATTACATATGTTAAAACAATAGTAAGATTATGAGAGATTGATTTTATCCTCTTGTATTACTTAATATAACTTTTAAAATGAAGATTAAATTAAGAAAAACTGTTCTGCTTAGCACCGTAACACTGAATTTATTATTTTCATCTTTCAAACCCCCTTCTCTACCAGGGTTCCCTATCATGGCAGTGTCATCTACAGCCACTCATTTATTTAAGCCAAGAATTTAGGAAACTGACTTACAAAATTCCCCTTCCTCCATCTTCCATTCTTCAGCTGCTGCAGCAGCCATGAAATGCCTTTTCTTAGTTCTCTCTCAGCTACAATGAGAGGACAGAAGAGAAAGTGGTCTTGTCCTATGGTTTGCCCCCTAGCTCTCCACTGTGAAATCTTTCTTGATAACTCAGCCTGAGGAGCTCTGGTGCCGTAATCCCTAAGGTATTTGACTGCTAACCAGAAGGCTAGCAGTTCAAACCCAGCAGCCACTCCTCAGAAGGAAGGCTGGGCGATCTACTTCCGTAGAGATACCGCCTGGGAAAAACCCAAGGAGGGGTCACTATGGGTCAGGGCCAACTCGATGGCAGTGAGTTTGGTTTTGGTTTTGGAACTTAGCCTGAGAAGCATTGATCCCTGTGTACTTGTTCCTAAGGTGAAAAGGGGGTATTCTTCTGTTTTACTCTCACAAAAGTGCAATCATCCCTCCCACTCCTTAGCCTGAAGCTGTGTGATTTAAATACATATGCTTGTTAGAAGGAAAGTCAGTCATTTTTTCTGTTTCTGGGTGTCTTATACATTATCTCAGTTAACCAGTTGAATTAATAGTTGAACAAAAATAGAAAGAAGATTTTGCCCTGAGGGTAAAGCAGTTTTTATTGCTAATTGACTGCTTTTCTGCGTGTCTTCTGCCTGGTCAGGAAAGTCCTCTCTGGGGATGGCCCTCTTCCGCCTGGTGGAGTTATCTGGAGGCTGCATCAAAATTGACGGAGTGCGAATCAGCGACATTGGCCTTGCCGACCTCCGAAGCAAACTCTCCATCATCCCTCAAGAGCCAGTACTGTTCAGTGGCACTGTCAGGTGAGGCCCCAGGCACCTCATGGTGCATGTCTTCATCTGGAGGTCTGCTGGGATCACAGTGTTGGATCCTCCTCTAGGGCCGAGACTCGTGACCTCTGGGGCAGCACTTTGCCACCGCTCTGTGTGCTTCCGACTGTAGAAGCGAGGAGTTCTGCTGTCCATGCCACTTTGCTGATGGGGCAGGGGGACCTTGCAGCACAGTGGTAAAGAAGCCACATAGATTTGGGCTCAGATCTCTGCTCTGTGACTTTGGACAAGCTGCTTAACCACTCTGTTTCCTCGTCTGTAACATGGGGACAACATGAAATCTAGATCAAGCCCCAGAGCTGCATGTAAAGAGTGCTGTTGTTAACAAAGTTGGTAAGAAGAAAAACAGAAAAGCACACATGGACACAAATAGAATCTTGGATGTGAAGACTAAATAAGTTAATACAAGTTACACGTGCACAAACCCAAACACCAAACCTGTTGCTGTTGAGTCGATGCTGACTTAGGACGACCTCAAGTGTTTCAGAGTAAAGTGTGCTCCATAGAGTTTGTAATGGCTGTGGAAGCAGGTTACTAGGACTTTCTTCCATGGTGCCACTGGGTAGATTTGAACTACCAACCTTTCCGTTAGTAGTTGAGTCCAAACCATTTGTACCATATACAAGCATGTTGTTGTTGTTGTTGTTATATGCCGTTTAGGCCCCAACTCATAGCGACCCCTCCTTGGGTTTCTGAGGCAGTATCACTATGGAAGTAGGATTGCCCAGCCTTCCTTCCGAGGAGTAGCTGGTGGGTTTGAACCGCCAGCCTTCTGGTTAGCAGTCAAGTGCCTTAGGCACTATGCTACCAGAGCTCCCGTATACAAGCATGTTGTTGTTG